GATCCCAATTGAGCACAATGAGGATGGCCGAGCAGAAGATGATGTTTCATCGCAAGTCTGTGGTAGCGGCTAGCCTTTGCGCTGCAGCAGTTCTCGTTCTCACCTACAATGTTCAAACTGCGCAGCGGGATCCAGTGGCCCTGCAGTACACCAAGCTGACGGGCGATCGACCGCTGATGTTCTCCAGCGCTCACTGGGACTCTGTTGACCTTCCGCAAGACACCAGCCGCAAACAGATGCTGTTTGCTGACTCGGGCTTGTCATCCGATGGAAACTTTCAAGCGGCTCACTTCGACTCCACGAGACTCCCTGAGGATATGATGGATGATTCGACGAGCTCTGCACGGAAGAAGCTCTCGAGCCTATTCTCAGCGAAATCTAATGGCGTGAGCAGAACCATGGCAGGAGAAATAGCGGATAATGGAGCAGCGATCTTGCGGAAGACAAGTTTTCGTACGGTCATCGATGATTGCAAGCTCAAGTCAAACTGTCAGAACTTGATTGGGAAAAGGCTGTGGAACGTGATATCTAGCAGAGACAACCAGCCGAATCTTAAAATCATGCATGATTACGATGATGATAGAAAAAGGCAAGAGTTAAAAATCGAGCGGGACTACAACAAGGACTCCGACAAGAAGTTCATAGCTGACAACAGTGCTCAAAACTGGGAAAAGCTTCAAGACTTGATGAGCCAAAAGCAAGCATCTGGAGATGGACAGACTCTTAAGCAAATTCAGCAGATAAAATCTGAGAATATTCCTGAGGATGAGAAGCGAATCCTTATTGATCAAATCGAGGTATTTACCTGCCTCAGTTGTCTTCTTCTGTTTGACTTTGCTGTGACAGAGGAAAGGCAAAGTTCAGATGCAGGCGATGAATCTAAATCATGGTTACCAGAGTGAAACCTCACTGATCTTTGGTGGAGATCACAACAATGCCATGCAACCCAGCCCAAAAGAGCAAGCTGAAGAGCTAGCTGAAGCAAAAAAAATGATTTCAAGGCCTTCCGAAGCTCAGGTTTTGGAGAAATACCAAACGAAGGCGATTCATTCTATGAACAACAAGAAAGCCGATCGATCCCGTCAAAGGAGCCAGCAACAAGTGAGAGCATGGACAGAAAATGCTTCTGAGATCCGAAAACAGATGAATAGTCAGGACAATTCAGGGTCTAATCAAGTGAATTCAAATGGGGCAGAAAGTGAGCATTCATCGTATAGCGGCATGCAGTCTAGGAGCCGTTTAGAGCAAAAAGAGGCCAACGCGGAGCTGAAATCGTATGACATCCCCGTCGAATCAGCAACAGAGACTCACAGGTATTGCTTGTCAGTCAGGATGACCTTCACGACTGATTGTATTTCAGCCACAAGGATGTACTTGCAGATGCACATCTTGATGACGTGCAGACAGCACAACCATCTGAAAGTACGCAAGTTTCCGCCAGCCAGATGTCTGGGAACGGGGAAGACTGCTTCCTATCTGGCGGACGAAGGGTCAAGTGCAAGGATATTGTGAGACTGGGGAAGCTGATGAGGAAGGTATACGGCAAGAAAGCTTCAGACATCGCCCTGGTGGCTAGGGACAAGTCTTGGGATCCCACCAAGGTTTACAACAAAGAGCGTGAAGCCGAGGAAATGCGGCAAAGCAAGGTTTATTCCATTAGAGTCAGGAAGTAAGTGCGAGAAGTTCTGAACACTTTCACAGGCCGTTATCGAGCCGCATCCAGTGCACTCTGTTCTACCTCTGCACAGTGATGTCAGCAAAAAGATCCATGAGATGAACCTGGCGGAGGTGCCCAAGTCGCATCTGAAGAGGAGGACTGATAGGCTCGGGTCAGTGGGTCTCGCACGTTGTCATGGTAGCTAATACGATTGCAGATCGTTGTCAAAGAGCCTCGCTAACGTCATCGGATGGTGATCTATATCACGACGAAGGAAATAGTTATTCTTGTTGATCTGTAAAAATGATACATCGAAGATTGCATGGCATCGATGATGTGGTGAGGCAGGGTGCAAGTGTGGGACAGGTACACGAGGACGGTTAACAAGGTACGATCTCTCTCGACCAGACAATCAAGCTTGTTCGTGACATAATTGAATTTGTGAAGACATTCTCTCAATCGGATGTATCAACAGCAAAGACTTGAACAGGAGGCGTCTTCCTCCTGGCAAGCTCCTCCTGAAAGTATATCTTCTTCTCGTCTGCCCCTTTTCACCTAGCGTCCTCTTCGCATATCCGTCGCCTTCGTAAAATTTTTATAAGTATTTAAAATATTTTAGTTCGGATATTCATGGATGCTGACATGTAGTAAAATCATATCTGCCCGGTTTTAACTCAAAATAAGTGGGATACTGCAGGGACAGGGCCGGGAGGATACAAAGACGGGACAAGAAAGCCGTATATTCCGAGGGTAAGGACAGAAGAGACGAGGTCAGGGTAGAGAATGATTCATTCCCGTGTTCTGTAGCAGAACAAGCAGGATAAGTAAGACCAATGAATAAGAAGTTCACCAGATTTCACATGGACATAGTGGGCCCAGGGCAGCAACATTTTTTCGTTGCCAGTGACGGTCGGACAACAAATCATGGATAGAAATAGTTGATCATCAAGGAGAAACGAGAGAGAATTTGAAAGAAGCAGGAAGGAGAGACCCACTTAGAGCACGTTTCTTGTGTCTAATGCTAACTCAAACCTTTTCCTCTCTAGGATCCATCGACTACGGCAAGGCAACGCTTCTGGCTGTATGGAGCAATCGAGCGAAAGTTTGGTTGATGCTATCGATGCTCTCTTCACAGGGCAGTCGGAAACAGCCGTCACAGAGGAAGACATCGACAAGGTCCTCAACGACGATCAGTTTGAAGAAGAGGAGGGCGGGGGGGTTGTGCTCGACGCGCATGCTAAGAGCTCGAACAGAACACAAGTGACCATATCCTTTGATGCGGCGGGAGCGGAGAGGCCCTCGGAGAAAACTGGGGAGTTGTCGGAGGCTGCGGGCGAAGAACGAGCGAGTGGGACGAGGCAGAACAGGTGGAAGAAGGAGGAGCACGAGTTGTTTCTGCAAGGGGTTCAGAGGTATTGCCAGTCGTTCCCTCGGATCGATGAGGACGGGGTCTTTGTTGGATTAGGGGACGGCGTCGCTGACATCATTGCCGCGGAGATCGGTACGAGGACAGCAGCTCAGGTCCGATCGCACGCGCAGAAGTACTTCTTGAGCAAGCAGTACAAGAGAAGTTCTGCTGCCAACGCTCCTGGCGGGTCATGACATTTGCCAGTACGCCATCGCCTACTCTTTCTTCGCTATTTGGAGCTGCGATCTGACGACGCGACTGAGCAGCCGCTGCTATTAGACCGCTGCTTCCAGCTCAGATACCTTCTCTCCTTCTTGCTATCGGTTTTATTTGGAATTTTCTTTTCGGATTTGAGCAGTGCCGTACCTCAGCCGCTTGTGGTCAGTGGTAGGGTATGACGCTTGCCCCTGAGCCGCAGCCTGCTTGGCCAGGCACGCCGTTCCGAGGTAAGGCTGGCCGCGCGCCAGGCCCAACTTTCCCGCCACTGGCCAATCGAAGGCTCTTTCAAGTTCCTACAACTTGAACTTGTAATGATCATTGAATGAATTTGGCTATCACTGTCAAGCCTCTTCGACTCTCAGGGCCTGATTGTCCTCGTTCTGATTTAACTTGAACTTTGAGCCTTGAAACATCAGATCATACTGAGACTGAAGATCCCAGCCTGGGCGGTTTCAGTTTGAGTCATGATTTCTCTGATCGCCGTCATCATCCTGTCAGAGCTCATAGGAACCGAGCCCGAGTCAGACAGACAAAGGTTTACTGGAAGGAAAGGACAGTTGTCTGCCTCATACTCGTGTTCGAAACTTACTTCCGAGTTCTCCTAGATAACCCAGGATACTCTACTCCAGTGTGATCTGCTGAAAAGGACCCCTTTGGGCCTGAGGTCTTTGTTGCAGGAACCGTGTCCCCGTGGTGCCGGGTCTACAAGCTGAAGAGGACCGGTGAGTCTTGTGGATGCAACTGGCCGAGGACGCCGGGGTTCTCTTCCCTACGAGCCTCGGAGAGGATGGAACGTATGCCAGCCGGTGTGATCTGCTGAAAAGGACCCCTTTGGGCCTGAGGTCTTTGTTGCAGGAACCGTGTCCCCGTGGTGCCGGGTCTACAAGCTGAAGAGGACCGGTGAGTCTTGTGGATGCAACTGGCCGAGGACGCCGGGGTTCTCTTCCCTACGAGCCTCGGAGAGGATGGAACGTATGCCAGCCTCGGAGAGGATGGAACGTATGCCAGCCGTGCCAGTCAGATAGCGCCGAGTAACAAAAACTCTCCTGTAACCAAGACGACTTACGTGGCGAGGCGGCATGTAGTACATGGAATGAA